TATTTCATAGGATATTAATTTGATAAATTGTTTAATACGTATAGAAATCATTATTTGTTATTCAAATAAAAGACAAGGATGTCTCGAGGAAAATTATATCTATATATCTAATTCTATTAGGTGATTCATGCACATTTATTAAGGAATATAAATCATTGGTCTTCAATAAAATAATCATAAGGCAAAGAAGCCAGAAGAAATTTAGTATCATATAGGTATAAGGTCGGTGCACGTTACACACATGTAAGTATAATGTCAGGATAATCTTATAAAAGAGTATAAAAAAACACATTTTATAAACATTAAATGACTTTATTTGTTACCTAAACCTTGATTGTTAGGTCATATATCTTTCATAAAGAAAAATATTCCTTAATAATATCTATAAATGCCCTTATTCATTTGAATCTTAAAGTAGCGCCCTTTTCTATTTGCTAAGTTGATTTAATCATCATAGGACACTGTGTGTTATGTAGTCAGGATTGCTTAAAATTTACTTAAATTAAGTGATACTCGGTATCAACAACAACCCGATATAAGTTCATATCAAACGATTTTTGATAATTCAGACACTTACAAAATTAACCAAAAGTAATAATTTAGACTTATCCTGAAAAGTGAAACAAGAAAAAAGGCGTTGAGATTAAATAACAGTTTAGAAAGATGCTCTTTCTACTAGTAAGAAAGACATTTATAGATTGTTAAGTCAAGTAGTCAATGTCCTCGTGATCGGGTGTTATGATTTTCTGATCATTACCCCGCCTAGTTAAAATATATTGTCATGTAGTTAGTTAAAGTAAATAGACAGAGAACGATTTCGGGGCGTGGTAACAAGAATGCTTGTAATTACCTGCACTACGATTAACGCACTGTTCATTAATAGTTCGAACGTATTTTCAATGAAAAGATTGCCCAGCTATGACACAACAATTATTTATTTTATGCATTCTTATGTTAGAACCTTTAGTTAATGACCATACTAATACCTTGCAACATATGTTAATAATCTATCATAATTGTGTTTTAAAACTTGGAAGAGATTCGAGAATAATGTATTTTGCTTAAAATGTTTCCAAAGATTTCTGTAAAGTTAATTAAGTGATGATATTGTCGATATATATTCATTCAATAACATCTAATAGACAGATTATTTTTCGGTAAAACAATTGATTGGTGTAGCCTGTTGATTTTATGGTTGAATATTTACACTTTTAAGAACAAAAACAAAACGTATTGGTAAAACAATAAAATAATAAATTTATAGGGAACATACTTTATTGATGTATTTAACATGAATCTGAATTTCAGAATAGAAACTGCAAGGGGGAATACGTTTTCACCTCTTTAAAGTGGCATTTTCATCTAAAATTAATACAAAGATGTACCATTTGAAATATATTAGGCAGTTGATTTACGCCATGGTTTGGAGATTAAAGAAGATGAAAAGGAAAAAATGAAAAACAGATTCGTTTGCTTGATAGTTAAACGATTTTCGTTTTACTTCTTTTTCTGTAGTAAATTTTTCTTTTTCAAATTAAAATTGCCTTTTATTTCGGGATATTTCGTCGTGTGTGTAAAATAAGACTGTCACTAAGAATGATGTAGGAGTATAATTTTTGGTATAATTGTGCAATTATTCAAAAAATATGATAAACAAGATCGACAAGGAAAGGCGGCGTTCAATGAACGCAGCCCCACCCGACCCAGCAACAAGCGTCAGCGGCAAGGAGCCCAGGGGGACCCCAAACAAGTTGAATAGGGTTGTAGCAGGCGTCAGCTGTACCAATTATTTTTGGTATTAAGAAATTTTGTAAAAAATTATAATTTGTTATATATTCATGAAAAGATAGAAATAATTTACATTTATAATATCATTTATTCTGTTAGTGATGCAAAATGTATATCTACGGAGGATTGATTTATGATATGTCTCTTTGGTATATTTTACATTTTCCGAGAAGGAAAATGTCATTACTCACGAAGAAAGTATGACAGAATTCGTACATATTCAAAAATACACATGGTAGAATGAATCTTAATATTAACATGTTTGTGTTAATGAGAAGCAGTCCAAAACGTAAGTCTTCAGTGTAAATTAGAAGTAGATATTTTATCTTGAAGAAATGAAACTTACATGATTTAAATAGATCAATACAGAATCCCTAAAGAAAGCCAAACACGACAAAATTGAAAATATTGCAGGCTCGGTTTGATTGAGCCTGTTCATGGACGGTACTGGAAAGTGCAAGTTACCGTCCACGCCCCCTAGCACCGGCTTAAGCAGAATTCAACATTTTACATGAACTGGTAAAAGTTAGAATTTTGGAACATCCGCAGATGTGTTCATATGGCGGTCATCATGTAACCTTCAATGTGACACGTTAGTGCCATTCCATGAAAAGCGGCATATGGTCCCCAAGTAAAAAAATGCTTGTGCCCTAAACGAGAAAACAATGGGCGGAACTAAATAAAATGGAATTTTATAAGGGGATCTGAGGTTATGAAGCCTGCATATCACAGATATTACGTCAAAAGACAAATTTAAAAGCATGCCTTATATCCTAAGGGTGATTCAACAGTATTCCAGTGAGGAATACTGGAACCACCCAACAAGAAAGATGCCGAATAGATAGAACTAAAATAACACAAGCACAACAAAAAGCCTTTTTCTTAAATTGAAAATATAAATCTAGTTTTTAAGGCTTTGACATTCGAACACTGGTTATAAACCTCTAGAAACACATTTTTTTACTTACTTTATTGGCATTCCATAATCCTTGAATATTTCAATATTGTAGACACGTTGAGAAATCTTTTATCAAAAAACATGTTATACGGATAAACAAAAAATACAAACCTACACTTTATCATTGTGGGATATAAGTTATAAGAAAAGTTATGGATCTTAATGAAATTTTTTGCAATCTTTGTAAAATGTTATTGACAATGTACTCTTACATTGGTAAAAGAAACCATTTTCATACAATTTTTGTTAACAGATTTTTTGGCAGCATTTTTCGTTGCATTTAATATTCTAGTCTCTGTTTAATACTAATCAAAACTACACATCTCAATGATTGAACAAAATTTAAAACGGAATCATCAGAAAAAAATGTTCAGGAGCTTTAGAAATAAAAACACATTATATCTATAATTCATGTAACGTGTTACGTTTTTTTGTGATTCACAAGCTGTTTAGTTTAAACAGGATTTATTAAAGCTCGATGGCGTAGGAAGCTATAAGCTACGAATCTGTTCCTGAATGAGCAACAAACATAGTTCTGTCTTCTCATTTCTTTTCTCAGCCATTTGAAAAAGTTCTAGTACTCATGTAATTTTATACGTGTGATATAACAAACGACAAGGGTGTAGCATTGTTTAAATGTATGTGTAGCACATATTTTTTCGGATCTGGAGGCATGCTTTCTATTTCTTTTAGGTCTGTCTGTGCGTATATTTTACGTAATATAATTTGCATTGCCTTAAATGAAATGAGCAATCATTCAACCATTTTATAACCGAGCAGACGGCGGGGATTTAATCATCCATAGAAAGTACTGATAACCATTATTTAGTTTAACAATATCTGTATGTTTAATCATTTTATTTACATCATAAATTAAATAAAATTTAATTTTACAGATTGAGTTGAAAACTTGCTTAAAAAGCATTTGTTACAATCTCTCTTCGTAATCAGTATTTCACAAATTATAAATAAATGGTAATAAAATATGCATATATTGTTTGCATTTTTGTAAAGTTTCATTTTAATTCAATCAGTTAAACAAGGCAACTTATAAACGGTAGTCAGCCTATTCTCTCCCTTACCGTTTCCTCCCCTGACGTTTCCTCCCTGATTCTCTCCCTATTTTGGGGGAGAACCGTCTGCATACTAGTAATTGCAAATATGCAGACAGTTTCCCCCCCCCCATTTTTATTTTTATTTGTATATTATATTTGAAGTATTTAGATGTTAAATAAAAGGGTAAGTTTATCATTAATTGATACAAATCGACCACAGATCGACATGGTGCAACATTTATTGTTCAGACTTCCCTCCTGTCTGAAGATATGGACACTTCTTTAGAATCATCCAATGAGTCTACACTTGATAGGATGGAAGAGACACAAAATTCCAGGATGACTTTACCTTTCAATGTAAGAGACCAGCAGATTATTGATCAAGCTGACACAAGTGTAACAGCAATTGTTGAGGAACCTCTGTCACAAACATTGATTGAAGAGCCTCAGGTTAAATTCACAGTGTTTGAAGAAGGCAGCAAAAGAGGTAAGCCTTTACTAGTGGCATCTGATGGGTATAGGTACTATGCAAAGAAAAGAGGAAAGAACTCAGTTCTGTGGTTTTGTTCAAGCCGGAGTGTTACGTGCAAGTGCTATGCCAGTGTGGTGCAGAAGGGAAGTGATTTTGTAAGGGGAAATAACTCTCACCAGCATGGGCCTGAGCCTTCTCTTAAAGACAGGGTTAGCGTTTCTGTCAAAGTGCGTAAGGAAGCTAGAGAACAACCTTTCAAAAGTACCATTGAGATAAGTAAGAATGCGCGAAAGGAGTATATTCAATCAAACCAACCTGGTGTTCCAATCGCCAACAGCCTAGCCAGACAAGCCAACCGGTATAGAGAAAAATTTCGCCCAGCTGAACCTAAAGACCTAGACTTTGTGGTTGATATGGACTTCCTTAAGTGTCCAGACTTTTTGGTGGCTGATATAAAGAATGGAACAGCGCGCCACTTAGTGTTTGCTACTAAGGAACAACTAGACCTACTCAGCACATGCAAGCGCTGGTTTATGGATGGAACTTTCCGTGTTGTTGGGGATCCCTTCACTTCAGGTCAACTCGAATCCATCCATGGTTTTGTGAAGAATAACGAGGGTTTGGAAAAACAAGTTCCAATGGCTTTCATTCTCATGTCGAGGACTATGTGAAAGTTCTGACGTCTCTTAAACAGTCACTTGAACAAGTCAGTGTTGAAAGCTTTGTGATGGATTTTGAGCAAGGTAAGCAAAAAAATCAAATGCCATTGACAAACCATTAGAAAAATGTATAAATATATCAATATGAGTCTTTATCAGCTTCCTCATTGAAAAATTAAAAAAAATCTATGAATACATATAAATTAATAATTTATAAAATATTGTGTATTACACTATGTTTTATTATTTGATTACAAATAAAGTTTACAAGTCATTTAAAAATATAATTTATAAATATATCAATATGAGTCTTTATCAGCTTCCTCATTGAAAAATGGAAAAAAAAAATCTATGAATACATATAAATTTATAATTTATAAAATATTGTGTATTACAATTTATAGAAGTTTGTATATTCATACATATTTTTTTCAGCTGCCTGGTTAGCAGTAAGACAGGTATTTCCTGGTGCCACAGTGAAAGGTTGTGTCTTCCATTTTACACAGGCTGTGTGGCGCAAGGTCCAAGAAGTGGGACTGAAGCCAGCATACTCTCGCCGGGCTACCATCCACAACTACATCCGTCAGTTTCTGGGACTTCCATTTCTTCCATACACCCATATTGAGCCAGCATTCCAAGAATTGTCATCAAGAGCAAACAGTGAACCTATACATGACCTCATCTCCTATATGGAACATCAGTGGATGAACCACCCAATCTTCACCATTGAGTCATGGTCTGTGTATGGTCTTACCATTCGCACCAACAACAATTGTGAAGGTAATTATTTTGTGAAAATATTTTTACAATGAACTTCTACATAAATAAATAAATGCACTTGACACACATGAGTTTAAAAAATAACTAGCATTAATTTATAAAACAAAATGTTCTGATAAGAATTATTTTTATGATCGAACATTGTAGACTTGCATATAAATAGTGTGGAATACTGTATAATGTAAACATTTACTTAATGTTTCCATGGTATAATATTTTCAGGGTGGCACAACAAATTGAACCAAAAGGCTGGGGGCTTGAGCTTGTCATTTTACAGACTGGTGCCTGTCTTACAGTGTGAGGCTGAAGAAGTGTCATATGAGTTGCGTCACCTTAGAGATGGTATTTCTACGCGTCGTGTTCGTCCAGCAGCACGCAAGATTGAGGAAAAGATAAGGGAGCTTTGGAAGAACTATTCTGCAGGGAATATTCAGACCAGTGAATTGCTTGAAGGCTGTGCCTCGGCATATGGTCCTCAGTGTGAAGAATAAACATTTCAGGTTGAAATAATGTGAAGTGATGAGTAAAAACTATTAAGAGGAGTGACATGAAGTTAATGTCACCCAGCTTTCTGTAAAAACTATTAAGAGGAGTGCTTGAAGTTAATGTGGCTATCTGTGACTGTTTAATATAACAGACATTGTTTTTTGTATTAGAATTAAATTATCTTTTTTAATAATTTTGATATAATTTACATTTTTTGTAATATGATCATCAATGAGCATTAAAATGATAAATTTTCAATTCATGAAATAAATAACACTAAGCATAAATTCGAGTTAATTTTTGATTTCATATTTATTCTATTTCAATTATATTACCTTTTATTCATATAAATAAAAAAGTCTTACTTAATTAACATATTTTAATTTCCTTGTAATTAATTTCAATAAAATTTATTAAAACTTCATTAATTCTTTACTCTAAGTCATATTTTTGTGATTGAAAATAGTTAAGATCTCAGAAGAAATATCCAACAGAGCTGATTTGAACTTGGTATTATATATTGCTTCATGTTAATGACTACATGTTCTTTCAGAAATTTTGTATAAAAGTAAATGTGATTGCATACCAGTTGTTGCTTATTTGTTTTCTAAAGTTTGTTACCACCCTATGTGCTATTTAAACAAATTAATGAATATCAATAGACATTAATTAACATAATTACAGGTGTATATCAGTCACTGTCCAATAATTAAACACCCACAATGAAGGTGTTGATAGGATTAAAATACTTGAAAAAGGTGTGAAATTTACATGCACTAAATTCACATAAACAAAACATTAAAAACACTTAATTATCAAAAACATTATTTTAATAATATCCATTAAGAAATATAACTAGATTAAGTCAAAACAAAAAGATAATTTATAAAATAAAAATTTGGGGAGAACTGTCTGCATATTTCAATTTTGGGAGAGAATCGTCAGGGGAGGAAACGGTTAGGGAGAGAACCGTCAGGGGGAGGAACTGGAAAGGGAGAGAATAGTCTGTCATTCCTTATAAACGACAGACGACAAAATATTTTTACAATTTTACAACAGTTATTTCTTATGTAAAATATAAAACATTAAGTCGTATCTGTATAATATTTGCCGTTTTTTATATTCGTAATATTTTTTTTCGTGCCTTCGAAATGAATAATATTATTGCTGTGTTAAAAATAGACAATTTAGAAGTATTCTTAAACAGTGGAGCGGGAAATAAGGTCTCTCCTGTCAAAATAGTGCAAATTGTGATACAAGCATGAAACTTTCAGATAATCATCTTTAGACTATAGAGATTCCAAAAGTGAAGTGGGCCCAAAAATATCTCTGCTCATCCAAGATGGCCGCCATTTTTAAAATGGCCGCCTTATAAATTTGACTTACATAATAGGTCATTCAGTGAATTTTTTTGTACAGACCTGAAACTTACACTAAAGCATGTATAAAGTTTCTCCTTTACAAACATTCAAATCTTGAACAAAATCAACGTTCATACCTCTTCAAAATTCAAGATGGCGTCCAATATGGCCACCGATTTTATGCAAAACTGATATATCTCTTTTGTCATATAACTTGTATCACAAATTATGCATATTTCGATAAAAAGTGTATAAACATATCAAAAATAATCAAATTATATGTAAACCACAATGTAAGTCAAGCTTTTTAAGTTATTTATCCAAAAAGTATTTTTAAAAATATTATTAAAGATAAAGTGCAAATATTTGCATATTTCTCTAACAAGGTTTTCTAAAAGGTCTTTGTACAAAACTCAAAAGTAACTTAGTTTCTTATAGTGCTCAGTCTAAGGTACTTAAACATGTAGATTTTGATTTTTTCGAACAGATAGAATATGATGTTATAAGATATAATGACCTAGGGAAAGTTTTTGTTTCCGGTGATCTGAATAGTAGGACTTCCGATTTCCCTGATTATTTAGTCTATGATAAGTATTTAGACCAAAATATATCTTTTTTGAATATACGTGATGTGCCTTTAAGAGTAAACAAGGATCATGTGATTGACAGTCATGGGCGGCGCTTAATAGATATATGCCAATCGACAGGGTTATTAATAGCCAACGGCCGAATTTACAATGATCGAAACAGGGGTGACTTTACTTTTTGTGCAAACGGTGGCCTCTCAACTGTAGATTATCTGTTACTGAATTTTGAAGATTTTGATTCGCTCAACGATTTTGATATTCTTGAATTTAATGAATATTCGGATCATGCAACATTGCTGTTTTCGTTTTCAAGAAAAAATGATAATTACATTTTTAACTGTGAAGAGTCAAATATCGAAAACGATACTAAAGTGATATGGGACGCGGATAAAGTACCCCTGTTCAGGTCGAATATATTGAATAATAACTATGACGTTATACAGTCATTGAATGAAATTGTGCGCAATGAACCGATAGACCACGTGTTACAGAAATTTACCGATCTATTATTACGTGAAACACGTGCCGTATTTAATAAAGAGTTTCATAGGTATACACGCGACACTGGTCATCGATCTAGCCAAAAATGGTTTGATGCTGATTGCGTTAATGCAAAACGCGACTTTAAAAGAAAGCGTAATATCTTTAATAGAGATAAGTCAGATACAAATATGACCCTTTTCGTTAGCGCGAGAACAAACTATAATCGTATTAAACGTAAAGCGATTAAAAAACATAAAATAGCTGAGGGTAAAAAAATTAACCAATTGGCCAAAACTCAGCCAAGAAAATTTTGGAAAATTATTAGAAAAACATTTAAAAAGAAAACGGCGGAAGCTGACGATCTAAATGTCGAGCAACTTCATGACCACTTCAGGTCATTATTTGGAGAACCCCCGGGATTGGATATAAATAACAATAATTTGACCATTGAGAATAATGTACGAAACGATATTTTAGATCGTGATATTTCTGAGGAAGAAATACGTGCGGCTGTATTTTCCCAAAATAACAACAAATCTCCGGGACCTGACATGCTTATATCAGAGGTTTTTAAATCTACTTACGATGTTTTCTCCCCGTTTTTACATAAATTGTATAATAGAATATTTCAATGTGGGGAATACCCACAGTCTTGGGGAGAGGGTATAATTACACCTATTTTTAAAAAGGGTGATACTAATGACCCCCAAAATTACCGCGGCATTACACTTATAAATATCTTGGCAAAAATATATTCCCAAATCCTACTAAATAGGCTCACGAAGTGGTCAGAAGAGAATGATAAGATCTGCAAGAACCAATATGGTTTTCAGAAAGGAAAATCTATTGTAGACTGCATATTTATCTTACATTCTATAATATCAAAAGTACTTAACTCTGGTGATAAACTGTATTGCATTTTTATAGATTATGAGAAATACTTCGATAAGATCGACAGGACATATTTATGGCATAAATTGCTTAAAGAAAACGTAAGTTCTAGACTTGTGAGAGCTCTAAAGTCAATGTATATGACGGTAAAATCGTGTGTTAAATATAAGTCGAATTATTCTGACTTCTTTGAATCGCATATAGGTTTGAAGCAAGGGGACCCGAGTTCCCCTCTGCTGTTTATGTTCTTCGTGAACGACATCTTAAGGTATATTAATACCGACCTAGAAGGTATTTTCTCTATTGATGAACTTCAGCTATTCTTAATACTTTTCGCAGACGACCAAGTATTGTTTGCTAAGTCCCCGCAGAGTTTACAGTCGATGATGTCTGATGTCGAGAGATACTGTAGTCTTTGGGGATTAAAGATAAATACCTCGAAAACAAAAGCAATGATTTTTGAAAAGGGCAGACATACACACCATGACTTTTATGTTAACGACACCCTTATTGAACTGGTGAATTCATTCAAATATTTAGGTATCACTTTGTTAAAGAACGGAAACTGGTATAGAACTCAGAAATATATATCTGAACATGCCTCATTTGCTCTTTATAACGTTTTTACCATATTTAATAATATTGAGTTGTCTGTTTCTCAGAAATGTAAAATTTTTGATTCACTTGTCGGCTCAATCCTTAACTTTGGATCAGAAATTTGGGGAATGCATGACGGACGCGATGTTGAAAAAATACATACAAAATTTTTGAGCCGACTTTTATGCGTTCGAAAATCAACTAACATCTCGGCGCTATACGGTGAATTAGGCAATTACCCTTTTTCTGTGATGAGACAAATTAAGATGATTAGGTTTTGGGTAAAATTATTAAGCTTGACGATACAGAGATTGTTAAAAAAGTTTATTCAATGCTTAAGCAAGATGTTGATTCTGGGAATACATATAACTCGAAAAACTGGGCTTTTTGTATTAAAAACATTTTAACAACCCATGGTTTAGCGTATGTATGGATTAACCAGTTTTGATATAGATATTCCTTTGTCATTATCAGACAAAGAATTATAGATACTTTTATACAGAAGTGGTATACTGATATAAACAATTCTGGTCGCCTGCAAAACTTATAGCATTTTTAAACATGATTTTAAATGTGAAAAGTATTTTTGATTTAATTACAGACAAAAATCATAGAATTGCTCTTACTTAATTTAGAACGTCATCACATAACTTATGTGTAGAATCTGGTCGATATGAAAATATACCAAGATCAGAAAGAATATGTAAATCTTGTTTAATGAGACAACTGAAAACAGAGTATCATTTTTTTTTAGTCTGTCCACGTTATAGAGAATTGAGGAAAAGGTTTTTTAAAACCTTATTATTGTCACTGGCCGTCTGTTATAAAATTCGACAGCCTAATGTCTTCTAATTCTAAGAAAACTATATGTGCTTTATCTAAATTTATTTACTTAGCAAATAGACAACGTATTTCATAGTATCTCTTCTAGTAATATCTGAAAATGAAATATATTCGAACCATAATTTATTGTTTAAGATGTTTGCATTTGCATGTATATCTTTCAAAGGAACTGACTTGCAACAGTGAATATTACGTTTAGTCTGTAGGACTTTAGTGTTCTTCATGTCTTTATATTTTAGAAAA